AGCGGCCGTTTAACAAGCAGTGCCTAAGAATCTTAACTGGGCTGTCATACATGGTTTGGTGACTGGCACTGCAGCTTGACCCAGTCTAGTGATGGCCGGCCCGCAGATTTAAGAGTCACAAACCTGCCTTGTGAGCCGAGGGTGCGGGTTCCAGCCTGCCTATGTACCGGATGACCTTCGCAGTGTGTGTAGCCTACGCGACTGTTGGTGGTTGTGTGGCAGCCAAACGTCGGTACTGCGTACCGGTGTACTTCTGATGCCTTCTGTTTCAGTCTAATGATAGGAACAAAGTTCATTCCTAGAAAATGCAACCAACACCAAAGACAAATGAGCAGTGCCCATTTGATGCTATCATATAAAGAACACACGCCTCTAATCTAGGTTTGGGACCGAATGGTGCGACATACAATAAAAGATAAAAACGATGGAGGGGAAATGCCTGAAAACTTTTCGAAATCACTGCAATAGATCGTGTAGTAGACATCCTAAGATACTACACAATAATGAGTTAACCAATATGTTCTTTAGAGTTCTCTAGTTTACTCACTCTTAACAAAGAGGATGAAATTACTCAAAACTCCACTGACGAACGAATCACTTAAATAACTCGGAACCGGACGGTTATATGCCGTGATGCAAGTGCTTATTACAAAAATTAGCTGCAATAGGTGGCAAACCGCGTAGTTATAATTTTGTAAGAAGTGAAGTCTCAGTCCTCCTTACGATCCACTTCCTCATACCCTCATTCGATATGCCCCTGCTCTGTACTCTGTTCACCTATGTCTCGCTCCCTTACTCTGTGTTCATTCATTCTGTTTCGTAACAATCCTCCTCGGCGGCCGTCTCTCATGTTTCATTAACTATAGTTGTTTAATGCTGTACATTTATTTCCACAGCTAACTCTTGGACAGTTGTTATCTGAGGCATCCACGCCCCAGGTGCACCCATGAAAGCTACTGTACGCGATTCTCCATTCACCTTCTAGCAGCCCACCACTCCAGTACCCAAGACCTATCTCGCCGCCTTCTATTGGCTGTTGATATTAGACGCACTTCTTATCGAGGACATTGCACACCAGTTCAATGAGGGACCTACATCTTCTCAACTCTCAGTAGACTGTTGCTGAACCCCACGGACGTTTGCACCTAGTAATGAATACTATGCTTCTCGTCCAGTTTGATATCTTCTCACACAAACTTGACCCACTCTTTTTATGGCTAGTTCCTTTTGTGCCATTTATTTAGCCGCTCGTTTTGATTCCGCTAAATCTTACTACCGGTTCGTTAAACATTACTAAATTTACAATTCCCGTTCTTCTTATGTTACCGCACCTGTCGTGCATGACAACGAGACCATGTATTTTGCTTCAAACAAAGTGGAGTGAATATGCGGTTCGATGATCAAATGTTCGTCATCACTACGATTGGGTCGCACCTCATCATTACGTTACTCGGCTGCAAACGATGGAATCTTATAATTGGGTATATCCTATTCATTACACTAGGTTCGGTTAAATATTACTGTTCCTTAAACGCTATGAATACTGAATACTACTGAATGCGGTATTATAGAGCAAGTAGAAATGAATTCTGTACAACTCTTTCGAAATATGGTGAAAAACATTATAAAAGTTGTCAACCGTGAATATCTTTGTCGTTCTCATGTTACATTTAAAATATCTGACTTACGATATTTCAGGATTCACAAATGTGATATGTCATGGTAAGTGTGCAGTCGTCCTCTGAATCGAAAAGTGGCAAAATACAAATCTAACAACGTTTTGAACTGTTGCACAGATGTTGCCTCAATCACATGTTCAGGCAAACTGTTCCAAATGTTTACCACTCTCCGTTCGAAGCACAGTGGGTGGGGAACACATTTCACATCCTGCATGACAAGTTTGTATCTGTGTCCGCGTGTGCTGCATGGCCCTCGTAAGTGTAGCATTGGCCTTAGCATTGGGTAGTCACCAAGATGTAGAACACGGTAAGTCATAATGAGGTCGACTCGCACCCGACGGTAGGACAAGGTGTAGAGTCCTAGTTTCTCGCACCGGTCTTCATACCCAAAGCCACGTAAACTCGGGATCAGCCTGATAGCAACATGTTGGACCCGTTCGATCTTTTGTGCCTCGCCTCGAGTAATGGGAAAGTAGGCGGGCGAACCGACTCTAGCATTGGTCAAACGATGGGAGAGAAGAGGCGCGTGGCAACCTCTTCAGACCATGTGCCGAAGCTACGTTTGAGCGCCCAAAGCATGCGCAGTCCGTTACGATATAGCCTGTTCGTGTTGTCCACGGACTTCAAATCGTAGCGTGAGAGTACACCTAGGTCCTTCACGGAGGGTGTGGGATATAGCGTTTGGCCGTCAAGAGTGTAGGTTGGGTTGTCGGCACCCTTCCCCATGCTTATAAATACAGACTTGGCTGGGAGATGAACTTCTGCAAACCATGTGGATAGGCTGTTGAGGTCTTGCTGAAGTAGGCCACAGTCATCGGGTGCGTTGGCATCTCTCCAAATCTTCATGTCGTCCGCAAACAAGGCACACGGTGATTGGAGAAGCTGCGGTAGATCGTTAATGTGGATCAGGAACAGAGTGGGCCCCAGCATAGTACCTTGAGGCACGCCACTTGTAGAGGGGTACCAGTCAGTTAGATGGTCGTCGACCTGCACCCTCCACTTTCGTCCAACAAGAAAGTCGCGGATCCACCGTTGTAGTGAACCACCGACACCACACATGCTGAGTTTGTGAAGGAAAACCTCATGACTGGTCTTGTCGAACGCTTTACCGAAATCGATGAATATCACGTCAAGGGACTTCCCCTTGCTTATGGCCTTCAACCACTCATGCCTGGTCACAAGCAGGTTCGTAGTGAATGAGCGACCTTGCATAAAACCGTGCTGTGCGGGCGTCAGGACCTCGTTTGACTGTAGCAAATGCAGCGATCCCTTCTTCATGATTTTCTCAGCAACCGTTGTCAAAATAGGGTGCCAGACAAGTTGGCCTGTAATTGTCTACTGCTAGGGTCGTCGCCTTTCGGAATAGGCTTCACCACCGAACATTTCCAGTCAACCGCCAACAACTCTTTGGACAGCGACCTGTTGAAAAGGTCAGTCATGACAGGAGAGAGGATGGTTGAAAGTGACTTGAGAGCCAGTGGGTGAAGCCCATCAGCTCCGGCAGGTTTGGTTAGGATCAGATCTCGTTGTCAATATTACTTCTCGTTCCATCGCTAAATGCCTATTATTATTATTATTATTATTATTATTATTATTATTATCGTAAACTCTCCACCTCCTAAAGAACGGTTATATAGTCTGGCACCTGTGAAGTCTAGCTTAGCATCGCGTAATGAAGTTGGAAGCATTAAAGATGATGGTTTGATAACTTACTTTACGACTTCTGAACTGTGTGCAAACGTGAGCGATGAATTGACCCATTCCAGATAAACTGCGGTTACAACTCTCCGTGTTCTTATCAGAGAGGCTTCGAGTGCCATTTGGTAACAAACGTATTCGCTGCCTTCATTACTGCCTATTGGAGTGATGTGATCAATTGACGATTACCAAGTAGGTCAATCCTGTTTTCGCGCTTCATCATGTGTTTACTCCCTTGCCTCGGACACTGAACCGCACCACAACAACTACGTCTGCAATAACTGTTTTATCTCTCGTCCAATTCTCCATGAAGTCGCCGAGATGTGCTTTATTCTTTATACCAGTAGACAAGTGCCACGTTGTCCACATCCGCCCTTTACACACCCATCGCTACAAACTTAAGGGGGAAGACCTGCAGACAAGCCCTCAGGGACGTTATCTCGGTGTGCTGGTACAGGATGATCTCGATTGTTCCAGTCAGAATCCGCTTCAAAAAGTGGTAACCAACATGTTGGCCTCTTGCGGAGGGCATTCGGGAGTTTTGATCCATTCATCTTCTCTCTGATGCTCAATGCATACGTGCGTCCCCACGTGGAATACAGAATCCAGGCTTGGCATTCTTGGCTAAAGCATGATCATGCACCGCTAAAAATTCCCCAACGTAGAGCAACAAAATTTGGTAAGAGATTGCGCAACCTTCTGTACCAGCAACGAGTAAAGACACTCGGAGTGTTCAGTGAACGCTACCAGCTGCTACGTGAAGATCTCCTATTAATCTACCAGATACTAAGCGACCTCACTCACGTATGCCGCCACCTACTGAAACAGCGCGAACACCAACAGAGGCAATAGCTGGAAACTGAATCAACAGCACAGTCGTCTAGATTGTCGACAAAGTTACTTCTCCCTCCGGGTCTGTCAATCCTGGAACGTTCTTCCAAACTCAGTTGAACGAGCCCCCACATTGGCCGTCTTCAAAAACGATAGGACATCGATTTGTACGCTCTATATGCTGTTGGTTAGACGGATATTCTGGATTTATTTTGTCTAACTATCCAGTTTAGAACTATGACCAACAGTGAAGCACGTAAAGTTGTGCAGAGGGGAGAGAAATCTGATTTACTTGCTATGGGTATTAATCATTACAAAATTTTATCTGGTTTTCTCTGCACTGTCTCACCTCCATAACCATCCCTCATAACACAATTACACTATCGCTTTGTCCACGCGTATTTTATTTGGTTCACTTATGTAATATTTAAATCTCATTTCCTTCTATTAACAACCTACGGGACATGTCAAACCTGTGCCTTTTTCCGCTAGAAACCATTGTTCTCTTGTTCCGAATTCTCGTCTTTCTTACAGAAATGGGAAGAAGAACATGAGTCGTGTTCATTAAATTTGTACAGATTATCATCATAGCATGAACTCACGGCAGGTGAACTTTATTCACCAGGTGACCGCTCAGGTGACCAATCGGGGAAAACCGTTGACGCAACCAATCAAACGCATCTAACCTTGGCTGATTAGCAAGCACGGTGTTCCCCACAAAATCTATTAGTTGCGTCAGTAATGTTCTTGAAACCTGTTAGGTGAAGCACGGAAGTAGTCACATTTTGTGAAATGCTGCGTCAGCAACATTCCCTTGGACTGCGTATGTTCGTCAGTAAGTGTGTGCTGCCGTTTGGTTCATAGCTTTTGAAAGATGTAGCTGATGTTAGTACGTCTTTTAGTGAATTTGGTATTTTCGGATTCCTGTGTTGCCTTTTCTTCAATCATTTGATGGTGTTTTTAATCCATATTGTTAGGTTCAGTTTACTGATACGTTAGTACTTTGGAAGCTAAAGTAAGTCCTGTTGACCTGCGAATTTCATCGAGAACCAGTTAACATCTTTTCACCTGGCGAGCCGACGCATGAACAAATAAAAGTCAAGTAATTCGTTCGCTGTCTACGTTCATTCTGTTTGCCTATATTTGTATTTTGGATCAAACCGTAAGAAAAACGAAAACTGGCCGATGTCAACAGATAGTACTGTCTCGTCAGGTGAATATAATACAATACAATATGAGACAAGATGTTCGGTGACTAAAACAAACTGGGAGAGGGTGGAGGACAGATGTGACAAGCGTTTGGCCAGTGTAGTATTAGGCTGACTGACAGCTGCTTCTGCACACAGCGTGCGAGTTTGATACAGGGGATCCCAGCTGCCTCGGTGAAACGTAAGAGAGGAAGTTATTACGTCTTAACACGATAGGAGGTATTGTGGCCGGATCAAACGGATGACCAGTTGCCAGCGAAATCCTACCTATGGATGACGCGGGTGGCCTACGTGAACAGGTTGGATGAGCAAGTGACGAGTGGGTGATTTGATACTGCAACCATGTGCGTATATTTTCGCTTATTATGGAATCCAACACTCGATGTCGCATAATCACAGGCGTAGCAAGGGGACGGTCCGCCCCGGTGGGTACTAGACAGAAGGAGACATTTCTAGTACCGTTGCTCATTCGATACCAAATACAAATAGCGAAATTTCCAGATAAGCTGAGGTTCGCATATTTTAATGTTACTCTGTATGACAAACAACACATGTGCCATGTGTTACACTTGTGCATACTCTCTTCTCGAAGACTTTACCTATCCCACTGCGGTCACTTTCATCAAATTTACCTCAATGTTACAAAGCATCATCCATTTCATGAAAACGAAGGTGCTGATTTTAAGTGTTTACGTATTTGAAACTATCAGGAGGTGGGGGTCGAAAATTTTACCACTGCCCGGGGCGGCAAAAGCAGTTGCTTCGTCACTGTGCAAAATCCACAGCTACACCTAAATTGGTAAATACATTGTGAACTGGAACCGACAAATTGTATTTCCGTTGTTATGGAACAGCTTTCCGATAAGTACGTTTGATAAGAACAGTTTCAACAGCCTAATAAATCTTTTGGACCTCGGAAATATGGCGCTTCGTTCAAAGTTGAATTTGGGGAACCTACTGTATTGTTGGTTTGCGATTCGCAACCTCTACTGAGACCTCAGTTCACTCTGAGGTAAAACTCAGTCATTCCGATTGCAAAGACTGTATCCGAAATAAGAATATTTCAGTGTCATTTATCCCAACACTGAAGCATCACGACCGCGATTTCATCCTGGCTTGGACTCATCAGTTGGCGATAGCGTGAGATGGGGTGGAACTCAGAGCCTAGTAGTTCAAGGTTGACGCCATGATGATTATGCTACTGAGATCTGCGAGCAACGCTTGGCACAACGGAAAGGAATTCAAAGTTGAATTTGAGGAAGCTGCTGTGTTGTGTTGCGACACGCAACCTCTATTGAGACCTTTACTGAGAAACCGCTGTCGTGGTATGCCAGTGTTGGGAGGAACAACATCGAAATATTTCCGTTTCGGATACGGTCCTCGCAATCGGAATGACCGAGATTTGCCTCAGAGTGAACTGAGGTCTCAATAGGGGTTGCGTGTTGCAACCCAACAACACAGCGGGTTCCCCAAATTCAATTTTGAATTCCTTTCCGCTGTGCCAATCTTTGTTCGCGGATTTCAGTAAGGTAGTTTTTAAGGCGTCAGCCATGAACTATTAGGCTGTGAGTTCCACCACTGCTGAGGCTATCGCCACTTGATAAGTCCAAACCAGGACGAAACCGCGGTCGTGGTGTGCCAGTTTGGGAGCATCAACAACTAAATATTTACAGGGCGCTTCGTTGTCCTCATTTTGGCAAAAACACCTTTTTCTTCACTGTATCCTAACTTGTTTCGGTGTCATCAAACTAATCGTCTAATGTAGTTTTATGATAATGTGTTAACACTGCGGATACAATGACAAATGTCAATATCTGCCAGTTATCGTCTTCTGACGGCTTTATTCGAATTAATAAATGGATCCAACTGTTTCAAATATTTGTATTTAGCCAAGATTTAGATGATACACATATTTCTATACTATTTTAACTCCATAAGGACCGTAGCTCTATCTATACGCTTTTCCGTTTACAAATCTCGAATTATCCCAATATGGTGTACTGGGGTTCCGCGCATTAGAATCTTTCTCCCTCCATGCTTCAGTCAACACATGAATCTAGGGATGATTTGGGCCTAACGAGCCAGTCCGCCATAGACTTATAGTTATCGAGCGTTTAGATACGCGCTGGTCTATCCACACGGAAAGTCCTAGGTTTAAAAAGAACTTACGCCGAAATGTTTGATGGGACAACAATTTCACCTAAGCAATTATTACAGAATCACATAGACTTATGAAGGTGTAAGTGTTACCATATCATATACTGAACAGGAGAAGTAGTATTTGCGCTGGGGAGCTTTGGTCTGATGGTGTTTAGTGGCCAACGGATACGGAAATAGATTACCAAATTCTGGCTAATTATTTGTGGGCGATAAACACTAAGAGGGTATTTTGTTAACCATTGAAGCGTCTGGTAACTTATTGGGTTACATCAGAGTTGCAACTGAACCTCCAACGTTGTCAGAGTGACCATGACAACCCACACTGAGTTCTAGCTTCAGGATGGAGCCGTTGCTTGGGATAATTCCATCGGTTAAAGTTCAGCTGAATCAGATTTCTCATTTTAATCATTTAGTTAGCTGCTTCGCTACTATTTCTGTTCTGACAGTTTGCACTCCGCCGACTCACTTCACTTGGTTTAGGTGCTTTGCCTTATTTAAGAAATGCATACGGATGAGATTGTCTCTGTTGACCACCGCAGTGGTGAATACTCGAGGTTGATTGTTTTCAGCAGTTGAACGAAAAATCACGCGCTGTACTTTCGAACATTTTAATGAGTCAGTATAACATCTTTTCAGCATCACAGTGGGAAAGATCTTGATGCGCACACCTATCGGCGTTGGATCTGAATGTCACTCGTTTCCTTTGAAGTTCATTCAGTAACTTTTCGAGTCTATTACCAACCCTATTCATGTTGACATGTTCCATTTCACGGTCACATACATCAACAGGAACCGTTTAGTGTTCGATAACTACACATTTTCCTATCTTATTGCTCACAGTATTATTTTACGGCGTCATATACATTCGGAGTTATTTGCCTAACTTCCTATGGAAAGAAAACTGCTTATACAACTCCTGTATTCTATTTGCTCTCTCTGGGAAGCAGTTGTAACCACTTATTGTTTTTCCAGAATGTCACCTTGTGCAGAGCAGTTGGGGATGACCAATGCATTTTCATTCTTAGAGGTAGCTCAAGGCATAAACTGTTACCATGTTTACAAGTATTTAGGAACCGCGTTAACTAGGAGCCATTTGTGACGATAAGCTTCTGTTAAAGCACACATTCTGTTGACTGCAAGCAGGGAAGCGATTCCTTTTGTCCACACACCCATTATGTTACACTGTTTTCATCAGATGCATACTGTGTGTAGTAACCCTTGTCTGGCGTGTGCGACTTGACAAGACGCAAATCTGTCCACTGAAAATCAGGCGGATTCCCGTTTCATGCATGCAGGTAGGAACATTCAAAGTAAAGTGACTCCCCTTCATTGCTAATAATTATCCCGGCTATGTAGATAGCTTACAGCGCGTCATGTCTGAACTGAAGCTTAAATAACTCGCGTCAAAGAGTTCCAATTACCTATTTGGTCAGTATCGTTCGCGCGGTTCCAACTGGTGACTCAATATTCTGCGGTGGATCCAATCATTGTAGCTTAGTGCGGTTTATGCATCAGAGCAGTGTAAGAAATGACGCAGCATGTCAATTTAAACCCGTGTGTAAACACCTCAAGCTTCAATCACATAGTGTCTGTAAGCGACAACGTTGGGAAACCTGTCATAAACAAAATCTGAGTCCCTGTTCAGCCTTACGTTTGTGGTTCAAACCAGATGCACAAAAAGGCGAGACCAAATTTCTTCTCGACAAGGTAAAGATAAAACTATTTCGCCTCCTATACTGTGAGCTAAGCGATCATTTTTATATCGATGTACCTTTGCTCATCGCTGCGTTACCATTCCTCACCCATTAAGTGATCTTCCCTTATTTCGTAAGCACTGAATATGCCACGGTAGAGTTCGATGTCGGCTTGGCTCTGCTGGTCAATATTTGTAAATTAGAAATTGCTTTGTCTGTGACAAAAATAGACAGCATTATCTGAACTTATTATCATAAGGTTGTTTTTGGTCATCCATTTCCGCATCCATTTCCGCACTTGCTTGTCACAGCGACTACGAACGTCTACTGAGAGACCATGGGTGGATTACGCCGCAATAACCACAGCTCCATCCACACACCTCATGTCTAGTGTAAACCCGAAGGAATAAGTTTGGGAGGACGGTAGGTGGGTTACACAATTGATTCGGAGTCAGCATACGCTCCCACAGCATGCACATCATTCATTATTACAAGTGAAACATACATATCAGTCGTACACAGGGCCGTAGCCAGTTCCACACCGGATGGAACTAGGCCTTGCGCTTGGCATCGTCACGCAGATTGTGCACTCTGTCCCCCCGAGCAACCAACAACAGTATCCTGCCCTAATAGTTAACGTGGCGGTTTTCGACAGACAGGCACCTTGTCAAGATTCATATCAAGCGCAGCCAGACCGGAGACATTCATCGGCAAAAACAAAAGGAGGTCAAACGAGCACATTGGCCACGTAGAGACCAACAGCAGCGATGATG